TGATCCCCAGTAGGAGAAGTTCAGGTGACCAGCAGCAGAAGACTCATCCAGGTTTGTTGTACAATCTGACAGCTGAAGGAACAAAGGATATCTTGAAACGTTCCGTTCGGCAGCGTACTGATAGGAGCCTGTTGCTTCGATTACTCTTCTGAGCGGCCATAGTGTCATGCAGAGGGTGTCTGGAGTTACCCAGGATGCCCTGCATTAGAGCCCTCATTCTTCTCTCCAGCACAGCTCCCACAGAGTCCACACCTCTCCCCATCACAGAGACACAACTAGTGAATCTTTAAACATTATCCTATTTTTATTCCTTACATTTTAACTATTTAATTATTTGTTCATTTTTATTACATTTCTTTCAAGCCATTTCCCGAAAAGTGATGTCTGTTGGCAACAAAACGAAAAAAACATGGAGGAAATCAAGTGATGTTTTATAGCTCGATATTTCACTGACTGCTTCTCAGGTCACACGGGGGATACTCTGTCAGTATAAACTTAATAATCGTTACTGAAAAATCCCCATTACATTTTCCATTTTCCCTGTATGATTTGTGGATACTTTTGGATTCAGAAAGTGACAATTAGACTTGGACGATGGTAAATGTGGTCACAATGCCATTAGGCCAGTCTGCAGCTGTCTTCTCCATAATACAGTAATATAACACTACATGTCCCTGCAGTCTACAGCATCTACAGTATAAATTCTGGCTTAAGTTTTCTAGTGACTTTTGCGAGCTGATTGCATGGTTGTTGCTTCATCTCTATGATTAAAGGCTGTACACTGAGTTCAAATGACAAGTAATATATACTGCTTTAAATGACTAATGTGAATGAAAGTGAGACTAAAGAGGCTTGTAAAGAGGTACTAAACAAGCTAGCATCAAATATCAGGTAACATCATGTGTGTCTGTGTTTCAAAGAACTGTAGCAACAAATGACATCTCTCTCTTAATTAAACATGAATCCATTATCCTTAATAATTGACTATTTTACGGCAATTTGTCAGAGACTGTTCATATTTTTAGTACATATAAAACAACCAATTCTCCCTTTGGGCAGCCCTGATTTAAACCATGACTAACTACCAGTATTTACATTATACAACAAATTAACCCAATGATAGAGGAGTAAACATGTGAAAATATTGAACTATTTGAAAGATAGTCCGTTATTTATTTACCTACTAAATGTATAGGCCTACTGGGTTATTAGGTCAAAAATATGTATTCACCTAAGGAGCTAAGGTATTCACCTAAGGATGAAAATGCAGAGTTTAAACCATACCATGCAGCGCAACAGTATCATAGGTTTGAGAAAGAATGACAAGATTAATTGTCCATTTAAATTCAAATATTTCTCTGGAAAGAATCTTTCATACTATTAAGCGGGCATCGTGATTTAATACCATCACAAAACAAACTAAATGTCCAACACTGAATCTTCTTTGGACAAAATAGCGCTGTACATTTATAGGATAACATTTACAATTATTGTCAAAATCTTGCCTTGAAATATATGTCAGCTTGTCTCAGATGAAAAATGGATTCCATGCTATGGCAACAGTCGAGAGAAAACAGGATGATTTAAAAGTGAAACAGAAAATGGAATCTCAAACAAATTAAATGTCAGGGCTGAGATTGGTTATTCTCTAAACTCTATTCTCTAAAGCCTAACTCCAGCCTGCGTGTGAAGTTTACATGAACATGCAACATGTTTTGTGTTGGAGGGGTCACACGGCGAACAATGCGAGCTTTAGAAAACTGCTGGCTGTGCAGAGGCCCGTACAGGACAGCATAATATGGGCAGGGACGTGGCAGAATCTGGACACACAATAGGCGCTCAATGGCCTCGTAGGATGCATAGGTCTGAGGAGAGCTCTCTGGAAAATGAAAGGCTCAGTTGGTCAATGGTGCTTTACAGTGCACTGTCCTGGCACAGGGAGAGTTACTCATTACAATTCCACAGTGTTGTCCACAGGAAAACTTCATTTTGGTCATTAGGAAAATGCTAATGCCTATAACTAAACAGAATGAAATGTCGTATATTGAATATCACCAGGGCATTTAGTACTTTAAAAGTAAATACTGTAAACAAATCAGTCTGAATGTCATTACAGTACAGCATAAGAAAAGGCTCTGTGAGTAACTAATTAATGCCTCAAGTTTAGAACTGAACTGGCGGAGTGAGGGTGGTCCAAATTTTTTTCACTTCTCAGTCTGAAAAAGCTGATCCGAACAGAAGCCAAAATACATGCATGTGAATACTAGTCATAGAACTGTTTTGAGAGTGAGGAACTACTGTAGTTACATGGACTAAAAAAAAAAAGGTTTGCCGCTACTGGAAATGAAACAGTGATGCTTTTGGCAATTTTGACTTGAGTTTAAACAATCAGAATAATGTATTAAGACCACACAACAAGTGGGTGGAATTCTAAAACCAAACAGGTCTACTTTCCTCCTGCCTGTTGTGAATGGTATGATGTATGTTTAGGCCACACAAACACCCCCTCACCCTCCCCTTTCTCTTGTTCTCTCGCTTCCTATGCTCACCCCCTTGTTTCTCTGGGGTATGAAATTCAGGTCTCCCATTGGCCATGAGGACCATAGAGATGCTGATAATATCCACCAACCAAAGTCCGGGTGCCCTGAACGCCGTCTCCACAGCAACGCTTCACAAGCCCTTGTGTTTGATGTGCGCGCTCAGAGTGCGACCAAACACGTGCGCACACTGTTTTTATGTGTCCAATGGCTCCACGTCATGTAGCAACTCCTCTCAGTGACTACTTTGAATGGGCTCTACCACTGAACCCTTGCTCCATGCATTTAAAGAAATTGAAGCTGCAAATTACACTGCAAAAAGTGGTGAAAAGTAAGTCCCTTGGGCAAATCTTGTTTTAAGAAAGTCAGCATGTACTCAAATTAAGTAAAAAACCACTGCAGTGTTGGACTGAGTGATTTGAAGTAGAACTTTTGTTAATCCTCATTTTAATATTTCTTCTCAATGTTATGTTTTGTTATTCTTCCTCCCACTCCTTTTTGAGTACTGTATCTTATCTTATCTGATTTATATGTATAAATATGAACCCAATTTAATATGGAAATTAGAGATTATTTAAATTATCTTCTCTACTTCATTATTGACTTATTTAATTCATGTTTAATTAAATTCCTTACAACATTTAATTTTCCTCCACATTTAGTAATGCTAATGAGGGGGATGCTTTATTATCATGTGTATGTAGTGTTTGCACAAGGCCATCTGTTAGATGTGTAAAATGCATCTCTGGTTTACAAATGGTAGTATTTACATGGTACTCTGCCCTCATGCTTCAGGCTGAGCAGGGAAAGTTTACTCTGAGTGTATTTATTGGAGCCACAGGTCTCCAGTGCGAGACTTCAACACAAGACAAACGTGATGGATTATTTCACTGAGTGTTAGTTTGGATCTGACAGTATACAACAAGATTCTAATAATAGTGGTCAGCTTCAGCACAATGAAGCTAGTAAGTTATGGAGGCAAGTTCAACATCCAGGTCTATGGTAAGTATTTTTTTTTATTTATATACCGCCTTTTCACTGCAGAACTGAGTCTCAAAGCGGTTTACAATTGTTAATTTTTGGGCATTTGTCTCTCACTCCACACAGAGATGGGAGCGGGGTCGCCAGTACAGGAGGCACATGCCAGAACTATTGGACATATTTTTAGTGGTAGGGGAAACCGGAGTACCCGGAGGAAACCTACGCAGACACGGGGAGAACATGCAAACTCCACTCAGAAAGGCCCTGGTCCGACCGGGATTCGAACCCAGGACCTTCTTGCTGAGGTCTATGGTTTACCTGTCCAAAACCATCAGGCCGTCAAATCTACAGTCATTACTTCCGCAAAGCAGTTTCATTCGATAAATATTTGCACTTTTTCACAAACATACAGAGAAAGCTGAACAATGTATATAAATGTGAACCACAATAATGTTAACACTAAAATATCTAAATAAACAATCACCAAGTAATTGTAATACCAAAGCCAGTCATTTATGTGACGTGCTGTACAAAGAAGAGTATCCTCTCTGAGCTGAGTTGCACTAGCACACCCACGCTGCATCTCCACCCTGCTACGTCCCCATGGGCCAGCAGCATCTGACATGTTAAAGCAGAATGGATGAACTCTAAGGCAGGAAATCTATCATACACAAGAGGAGCACATGTGTGAGCAAAACCTATAGATTACAACAAGAATCCCATCTCGTACCACAAAACTTCAACCAGCCTCAAACCAAGGACCATTCAGGCCACCGCTTGTGTAAAGACAAATGGGGTTATATAGCGGAGGTTCAGACTAAGACTAAATATCTCTGTAGTTAAGGTTTACTTCATTGTCCCCGTAGGGAAATTTGTCCTCTGTATTTAACCCATCCTTCAATGCCACAAGGGAAACTTGTCAGGAGTAGCGCCCGGGAACCTGGTCCCGGATGTTGATGTTTGGCTTGGTCAGGACTACAGGAGCTGGAGGAGGGGTTTACCTGGAAGGCTGTACCTTGTACATGTTTTTAGCGGGATAGGGAGTGGGAGGGGAAACCGGAGCGCCCAGAGGAAACCTATGCCCTGTTCTGAGGATCGGTGCCACTGGCGGCCACCTCTTCACTTCAGTCTTCCCTACTACACATCACATTCCTTTGCTAACTCTTTCATCTCATGTAGCAACCCGCCTCCTCCCCATCGTCGCCTCAACTGTGAAACATCAGTCTTCATGTCATCACATCATCACTTCATCATCCTCCAACTGCAGGGATTCACTTTTAACATTTCTATTCACTTCCCTCTTCCATACGTCATGCTATTTCTGCTGGGGTCTAAGCCCCAAACAATATCCACAAATGCATGTATTAATAAATGGCACGATTACAGTGATCACACAGTAACTAATATACTCCATGAAACTAATTAAACATATTTCTAACACATCTTCTTGTCTGAGTCTTCCCAGACTGAAAATGTTCTTACCAGTGCAAGTGAAACACTTGACATGGAAGTGCGTGTCCTGCACTCGGACCACTTCTCCTTTGCACACCTCCCGACATCGCTGGCATCGAATAGTTCCGGAGGCACGATCACTGCTCATCGAGCCTAGAAAACAGAAATATATGTATATTTAAGCTTGAATGTGGACTTTATGCACTGAAGCTTCATCAACAGTTTTATAGGCTGACCAACTACAGTATTCACTCAATAAGTGATTTGTCTATGAACTTGAGCTACTGACTCAAAGTAAAATCCATGTTAGTGAAAAAGCAACAGCTCAATAAAAATACAAGGACCATATTTATATGGTTTCAATAGATATTTACACCTGTTGTCTAATTATACACACTTTCTTTGAAGTTTTTTTTCTAAATTCAAAGTCATCTACCATGGATATAAGCCCACAATATTTGCAGACGTAGTGCTTCCTATACCTAAATAAAATGTGAGAATTCTATTTGTGAAAACCGACTCTATTTCAAGTACCCACAAAAGACTTATCCCAATGTGCGGAGCAACTGTAGAGCCACACAGCAGCAACAGCACAGATCTACATGTTTGTTTTCCTTACAATTTGACCGTAGGCGCTGGAAATATGCTCGTGTGATTAACTCCCACTCTCAAATCCCCACACTGCACCACATTGTTCAGTTCATAATGTGTGCACCTCCTCTGGGACCCTCTGTCCAGTGTGATAAGTGCCGGCCACTGGTCAAAATAATGCCCCTCCCTTCCTTCAGACGGTGAGGAAAAAGGAACCTGGATGTTGATGCCATCAGGTCTGAATGAGAGATAAAGGCAACTAAAGGCAGCTCATATCCGCACTCGGGGAAAACCTATACGTGTGAACATATTAATTAGGAAAGCCAGATGAAAATGCAAAAAAATAAAAATAAAATGACAACATATTAAAATAGAGGTAGCACACTTTTTTGCTATCCTTGTATCATTTATGGAATGGCATAAAACCTTCCATGGAATATCCTTGGTTATTTAGAGAGGTTGTGAGATTGAAATGTATTGCCAAAAGATGGGACAATCATTCTCTCTGTGGAATCATGAGATATACTTAATCGGTATTGGGCCATAGATAGTGAATCTTCAAATGCGCTAAAGATAAATACAAAAATATACAAATAATCAGCTAAAAGAGTATGAGAAAAACTTTTAAAACTATTATCTCTATGTGACCTAAATTGGAGAAGTAAGGTACAGTTAAAGTGTATAGGCCTAAATTCCCATGAACCTGAGTTTGATCTGGCTTGAATATGGAAACTGGCTAGTATAAGTACTGTAAAAGTTTAAATAGCCAGCTAACGTGTTCCATGATTTCTTATTTAAAGCCTTACAATAGAATATTTGTTAATTTTATGACCATCTATGAGCATGTTCGAACATTGGTCAACCCACTACTCTGGACCAACGGCTCTGTGGAGTTTCCTTTGTTGCATTTTCTGTGTTCTAATTGTTTAATTCTCTCATTTGTTGATGGGAAATTGACAAGTAAGTCTTCCAAGCTGACTGCTGTTGAGAATTTGAGCCATACCACAATAAATTGAATTGAACTGAATGAATTTTGGGGTCAACTAATTCGACTAAGTAATAAATATGTATTGAGCCACAGTTGTCTTGAAATCGAACAGCCGCTTTAGCCCATAAAAGAACAACGTTTATAATATCAACAGGCCTATTATGTCACTGTTACAAAGACAAATGCTTGAGCAAAATAAAGCATAAAAAAATTACTGAATGCAGGTTAATAGTGATCTTACAGGTACCAGGTGTTATGCAACTCTATCCAATTGAACCAAGTTTCTCAGCTCATTTAAACCAATTGAAGAGCACTTGAAGCCTTCTACATCCTTTCCCTTTCCTATTCGGACTCACAAGAAGAGCCGCTGGTCTACAGGTGCTATCGTTTGGAAAAAGCTGCTGATATCCCATGAGAACATTACCGGCAGGGAGCAGACAAGCGATAAGAACAGGTCCCGGGTCAGAGAGCGTCCTGCAGGGGGAGAATCTGGAGCTATTCTTGCCTCTGCCCTAAGCTCCCAGCCCTGTCACAAGGCATGCTGGGAGATCAGTTGTGACGAATGAACAATGCATCACTATGAATTAATGGAATCACCAGTGTAGCCTTGTGGTGCTAGCTGTGTTTGTTCAAAGAGGCTCAATCTTTTTTATGGGAATGTCACAAACAGAAATATTCATATGACTCTTGACTTTTCTAAAGATGAGTAATCTTGTAAAACAGAAAGAGTCCTGTCAAAGTAAAATCAAAGTAACCACAACAAATCAGACCACAACAGGCTGTCATCATCCTTATCTGTATCTTTGCATACTGTGAGTCACCATTTGACTCTTTGGGCTGAGAGCTGATTTGCTGGGTAAGGATGGACCTCTTTTTTCCCTTTCTGTCTGAAAAAGCTGATCTACAGATGTGACAAAAATACATGCATGTGAAAACAAGTGATAAAACCAAAATTGAGGCAGGAGCTAGTTGGATAGATTGTATTGCATATTTCATATGTTGGTGGTTAAAATGTTAGGGTTCCCAACTTAGAACGTGTATCACCTAAGATTATTTAGCAAAATGCAGCATCATTTCATCAAGAGCAATCTTCATTATTTTCCATTAAAGTATAAAGGTCAATGCGATCTATTCAATTGTACCCATATGCAAGTCAGTCCCATAACATATTGACAGGTGACAAAGAAAAGCTCCTTGCTGTAGATTAAGTGCAACCATCAGCACCTGATTTATCAAAAAAAGAAAATGCAGTAGTGTTTGAGGGAGTGGGACAAAGCAATAATTGTAGGGTAAGACTTTCATTCCACCCCACTCTAATCCAACAAACTAATGTACAAGTAGACATTTTGCCGATTTTGTTTTCTAATTATTTTTACACATTTTTGGGGCGACAGTGGCTCAGTTGGTAGAGCCTGAAGGTTGCGGGCTCAAACCCAGCACAAGACCTACTTCACGACTCCGACTGATGTCTGCTGTCTTTGTGTCCTTAGGCAAGACACTTAACCCCACTTTGCCTGAAGGCCCCACTGAAAGATCAAGGCTCCTGTGGACTCACCACCTGCAGGAGGATCAGTGAGGGGCTGGTGCTATGTGTACTGGGTGCAGAACTGACTGCCACCCCCCCAACCCAGAAATGGATTAAGGGGAAGAAAATGGACGGATGGATAACACTTTTTCACATCGGTTACTCAAACTTTGCAAATTTTTTCCTCTTGTTAGTAGGTATGCACCAAAAACAGCACTCTGATTGACTCTGCTCTAGCTGTCTTTCAAAGCTACTCGTCTTCATCTGGAAGAACTGGGTAGAACTTACTGAAATGCCGACTTTTACTTCTACATTTTTTCTTTTACCATAGACGCATTTGGTCAGCTTAACCAGGTGCAATTCCATTATACATTGATCCCACAAGACTGACCATATTAAAACCAGCCCTTGTCTGTCCCATCCTCCTTCTCGTCTATGTCAATCTCTGTCAGGACCTTGGACAGAGGCATTTATCAGCGCCATGACGCTGTTCGGTGGTACCCACAAACACGCTGTCACTCCTGGGCGAGAGCGAGAGGGGTCAAACTGCTGCTGACAGCCTGGATGATCATTTAGTCCTCTCAAAAGTCAAGGTCATAACGAGAACGCCTCCGAAGACACCACGCAATATAGTCACAACGTTAGAATGCGGCTTTTTTGACTGAAACTAGTGTTATGAATGTTCCAGAAAGGAAAAAAAGAAAGATCGGGTGTATATGCCCCATTCAGTGACCATTACATTCTGCAAACCTTGTTTATTCAGAAACACTTACATTCGCAACTGCTTGGTCCATTTGTCTGCAAAGCAATTACGGGTTGTCTCTTCTGTAATTACACACACAAGTTCACCCACCGGAGGTATTCAGCTGTGCGCCACCCGTATGAGCCTGTAGCTTGGGGTATTTGTCTTCCACCTTTTGTGCGGCTTGTTATTGAACTAAGGCATCTGGCGTGAGAGTGATAAATTGTGTTTGGCTCTGGGGTGAAGCACTCTCCAGATGAGGCAGCGTGGAGAGGATCATATAGGATTTGGCGTGCAGCCCTCTCTACCTGTGTTCAGACTCACAGCAGCTCACACTGGCACAAGGACAGTGAAGAAAATCTATTATTTTTAAAGCTTTCTGTCACTGTCCAGACAATGAATTATACACTGTCCTGCTTCTTCCTTCTTGTGTTGAAAAAGCAAATTGTATGCTCCAGACAAAACCACTGTGCATACTTCAAATCAATTCACACCATTTTAAATTAGACCTTATTAAGGCAAATACTGAATTGAATTGGAATGTAATTTAATACAATTGGCAATTCAAAATGTACAATAGCACAGTATAGGTAACTTTGCAAGCTGATTTCTCACACTTAAATCTGACTGATACTTAGAATACATCCATCAGTAGTGTTAAATATATTTAACCTACCTTATGGAATTACCTTCAGACACCCTCCAAACTCGCTGTTAATTTCAATGGTGTTGGTATGGATTTTCCATATTATCTGATGTCCATGTCTGGCTTGCTCCTGGCTGACCCCCCTGACCAATCCAGTGGAACCTGGGAGTAACCTCACAGCCAGTATATAGATAGCTGGGATGCACTAGTTTGGGCTCTTGGTCGGTGTCAACTCTCTAAGCAACATGTAGCAGCCTAATGCTGAGGCCCAGAACCTCCAGGGTTCTCTCTCTCTCTCCAACCATCTCTCCTTGGGGTATGATATTTTCTGTTATGTCTGTATGTATTTTGTTATAATTCCGTGTCATTAAATGTCCTCTTCTATATCTATTGGTTTGGGCCTAGTATGTACAGCAACGATTACATTTTCTTGATAACAAATGGGAAATCTCATAATTGGATTCAAACAGTACACATTAGCAGGAGTGGCATCATGTTCCAACTCATAGAAAAGAGTGCTGCTATTTAGGGTTATCGACCATATCCAGAGTGACTGAGACAAATGTTGAACAATAATAGTGACGCTAACAAAGTGGAGCGAACCAGAAACAGTGGAGGGGGTGCCGAAAGAACCACCTCGGATCACATGCTTTTTTGCAGG